AATATTTATATCTGATGCAAACACAATGAAATAATAAAGACAGAACAAAACTCAATTAATTTGAATCACTTTTGCGTTCGATCTTAAAATATCGATTCAACACTTCACTTTCCACTTGATTGAACACTTCACTGTCATTTTAATAACCTACTATCGTGATTCTTATGGATACGCTCACATATAATAGATGCACCCCAATAATAGCATTCAGAATGAATTTTTAGACTGGGTCTCAAGTGACCCAATAATAACATGTAAGGATGTTCAATAACCACATTTTCCACCTCACCTTAACATTCAATAGCCCTTATGGTTTTTTCCTTAGTTTGGAAAAATCATTTTTGCAGTATGTTTTTAGTTGCATTCCAAATACACTTCTTTTAAGACATTTCGATTTTTTTGTAAATTTTTAATAGAGTTAAATATTCTTTTCTTCTCATATAATGCATTATGTAATCTAGTGACATCTCTGAATGCTAATGTGTGTTTAATATAATGCTGAATGAGTATATGTTTCTCCGTATAATAGTTAATTCAGAATTTATTGAAAATTTTGGTCTATGTTTGAGACATACAAGTGTAGACCCCATGGATAGATGCTCTACAAATATATTTCCATTGACTCTTCCAATCCGACAGTAAAAGTCATGTAAAGGATGGGTAGACTATCCTTTCGGCTGTATGGGATGTATAAATATACAGCAAAAGTTTTCTGGCGACAATAAAGTTTTTCATTTTTTTATTTTGTATGTTATTTTTCCCTTAATACAATACATTTTTGTATGTTATTTTCCCCTTGATACTAGTTATTTTATCTCTTATTATTATTTATTTTTGAATATAATTTCCCCTTAACACTATCCATTTTACTTTGTTATTTTCCCCTTATTGCTATTCATATTTGTATGTAATTTTCCCTAAATACTATTTTATTTTGGTATGTTAGTTCCCTTTATTACTATCAATTTTTGTTCGTTAGTTTCCTCGTACTACCATTTCTTTTTGTTTGTTATTTCCCCTTCATTACAATAAATTTTTTTATATTATTTTCCCCTAATTACTATTCGTTTGTGTATGTTAATCACATTTTTATACTACTAGTACTCATTTTTGTTTGTTATTCCCGCCTTAATACTTTTCATTTTGTTTGTTATTATCTCCTTATTGCTATTCATTTTTATATTTTCTTTTTTCATTTTTAATACTATTCATTTTTTTGTATGTTATGTTTACCTTTTAAAATATTATTTATTTTTAAATGCTATTTTCTCCTTGTTTCTACTCCTTTTCGTATGTTATTTTTCCGCTAATATTTTGCATTTGTGTATGTTATTTTCTCTTTGAAAATATTCTTGTTTTTATGTTATTTTTCCCTTAATACTTTTCATTTTAGATTTATTTTCCCCTTAATACTGTTTATTTTTGTTTTCTACTTCCCCCTTATAAATATTCATTTTTAACGTTATTTTCCTTTTATACTTTTCATTTTTGTTTGCTATGTTCACTTTATTACTATTCATTTTCAAAGTTATGAATTACTATTTATATGTGTATTTTATTTTCCCCTTGATACTTAATCAATTTTATATGTTTTTGTATGTTACATTCCACTTGATTCTATTAATTTTTGTATGTTATTTTCACCTTTAAGTTAATACTATTCATGTGTGTATGTTGCTTTCTCTTAATACTATTTCTTTTTGTTTGCTATTTTTCTTTTTTAATATTTATTTCTGTTTGTTATTTTCCCCTTATGGACAATGTTTCAAAGTGAAATTTTGTCCCGAGGAATGAACAAAATTTCACGAAGAAGGAAACTATTTTATAATGAAATATTGTCATGGACCGTATTTCACAATATCTGAATACTAAATTTGCCTGCGGACAATAATCGTATGAATTTTTGTCCGTAGTAAAATATTTAAATTTATTTTGAAGTTTCATCATTAACGTCAGGATTTGGTTTTGTGTTTTGTGTTTTAGTTTTAGTTTTTTTCAGAAGTATTTATTATCATTTTGTTAATTTTCGGATACTTTCATTTGGGTTTCAGTTTCATTATCATTAGACATTAGTGATATGATACATAATGCAACCTTACAGTGAAAGGGCTCTGTTTCGAAGGCCACGAATTAGGGGCTGTAAAAGGAAAAAGTAACATAAAATATTGTAGTTAAACTAACAAATTATTTGTTAGACCAAGGAGTTATATACGAATTTACTTGATAAGACTGATACGCGATACCGTTTATTCTGACTGAATATATTTACTTTCTTTGATCAATAAAATTTCTGTTAGGTAAATTGAGACTCTCAACTTCAACATTACCCAAAGAATTTACAACACTAAAGGAGATGCGAAAGATATAAATGGGTAAATCAAACTTATAAGTCGAAAATAAACTGACAATGCCGTGGCAAAAACGAAAACCGACAAAAAAACAAACAAATGTACGCAAAACACAACATAGAAAAAATAAAAACTGAGCAACACTAACCCCACCAAAAACTGGGGGTGATCTCAGGTGTTCCAGAAGGGTAAGAAGATCCTGCTCCATTGGTGGCACCAGTCGTGTTGTTCATGCAAGCACATACCTTGTGATAAGTCTAATTAGGTAGGTCACATTCGAGGAAAAGAAGAAGGAATGTGGTTATGACAATTGGAACATATCCGTCGTCATCTGTGAAATAGATATTCCATAACGTTCAACCAACTTGTGATGGCGTGCGTAAAATTTTCGAATGAATGATTTCAATTTCACCAATTGGAACTCTTTGTTCTATAGCTTCCTTGTAAGCAGTATTCTTCTATAAATAAAATCATTATAGAAAATGCAAGCTCTGGATTATGGTATCAACTGGGAGATATATACTCCATATGCAGGCGCTGCTGGAATTTTAAATGTTGCTACATTAAAAATAGAAAGTTTACAAATGGGAAGTTGAAATCATCTCTTTCGTCGTAAAGTTTTGTTTTCAACCGAACCTCATTGTCAATTTCTAGATGTAAGTCAAGTTAGGAGGCAGATTTAACTGTGTCCGTTGTTTCCTTTATTTCAAATTCAATGGGATATATGCGTTCGACATAGACACCAAACTTTACATTATTTAGTTATAGAACATCATTATTGGCCATACTGCTTTCTTTGTTAAAGTCGTCAATTTCAGCATTCATAGCTCTTTTGTCTAAAGTTCAAATATAAGAACACAATTTCATGTCAACCCACTGTTTGTATTGAGCTGAAAAAATCAACATACCTCTAATTGAATATAAGAGCATACTGGTTCCCGGAACTTAGAAAAAATACTAATATAGGTACTTAAGATCTGAGAAACAGTCAAAATATATACTCCCTTTTTAAAATTCATGCAATTTTTCATTATTCAAAATTATAGGCAAAAAGTATTCTACAATGTTCATTTGATACCAAAATTACCAAAATATTTTACATATTTTGAAAGCTACACCAATGCGTATTAACGATTTTGTTTTTAATATGTTCTTCTTTCTGGCATATTCTTTCTGACCGATTCCAAATTAGTGGTGTTACACCAATATAGTACACTGCGATGGTAACGCATTAATTGATGTCTTAAATTTACAATTTTCCGAGGGTTACACTTATATACTTTTCTGTTGTCTGTTTTGTTTAACACTTTTGTAAAGCGGCGTTTTAGACCATACTTTCTATGATTGTAAAATGTAATAGTCTAACAAATTACGTTTAACAAATAAATATCTAATTATTATATATTGGTCAGCGTCAAATAAACGCATAAGTGAATAAAGCTATCATTTTGGTATATCATATGTAATGATGATATGATAACATCCCTATACACATACAACGGAAATAATATAAATTAAGCTAATCGTGTTTTACAGAATAAAGCAAAGGAAATGCATAATAATGAATGTACAGATGAAACCAAAGGAAAGGCGTTATAATAAATGTATCAATTTTGACGCTTATCCAACAATATCCCATAGCAACTTGTTAATCGATCGGTTCTCAAATAATACACCATCCTTAAAAAATGTTATTACCTTCCTGACGTGTTCCCAATTTTATAATACGTCTTGCGTATTAAATTTTAAACCTGGTACCTTTTGTTAGCTATTATTCGTATATTTCTCTGTCTTATATGTTCTCCCATTTATTTGTATTGTAGTCCTGTCATGTAATGTTGTCATTTTAATGTTATATTTAACCTTGCCTTAAAAGCGGGAGGTTTGGCCAGCCACAAAACCAGGTTCAACCCACCATTTTGTTCTTAAAATGTCCTATACCAAGTCAGGAAAATGGCCATTGTTATATTATAGTTCATTTCTGTGTGTGTTACATTTTAATGTTGTGTTTCTGTTGTGTCGTAGCTCTCTTATATTTGATGTGTTTCCCTCAGTTTTAGTTTGTAACCCGGATTTGTTTTTTTCTCAATCGATTTATGAATTTCAAACAGCCGTATACTACTGTTGCCTTTATTTATAACTCATTTAAGCCAATAGAATATTAGCCACACCAATGAGCAACCAGTCAGAAGAAACTGTTGTTTAGTAATAATTTAAGGATGGCGTGTATATCAATTTAAACTGATTACGAAGCAATAAAACATTCCAGTAACGAATAAAATTGCAATTAAAAAAGTATAAGTTGTAATCAAAAATGCATCACAAAAATAGAATCGGCATTTCATTAAAAAAAACCATTAAACAACAACGGAGCAGAATCCTCTTGAACCTTTTTGAAATTGTCGTACCAAACAAAAATTCACAAACATCAATTGCAAACCAAAGGATATCTCCTAATGTAGGTGTCATCATATCAAAGATTAAGTGTCAACATGTTCATTTGTTTACTTGCCTACTTTTATCAACTTATTGCGTGGGGTAGGCATTGGTTTCCACAATCAAAAACCTTGGCATGTATAGATCATCATCTGGCAATGCACTGTATACCGACGGGTTTCAATCAGTTTCTTTGAGTTTGTTTTCAAATTTCAGAATGTCAACAACGACTGCAAATATTCCAATTTCCTCCCAATTTATACCACAAGTGGTTGGAATCCAACAAGTTTTACCAGTCGGACGCCAGCAACAAGCATTTCCAGTGAGGACATTTAAAGTGTTTGGTGGTATACAGATAGGTCTTGGTGTTCTTCTTGGGATTCTAAGTTTAATTGGAGTGATTTTGGATATAACTGCATGGAACAAATACGACGACTGTCTCGCCAAGATTGATTTCGACCGTGACAGTGGCAATTATCGTTATTATGATTATTATTGGATGTGTAGTCGATATGATGATGTCCACATACTTTTTGGATTTGACATAACTTGTCTAATATGTTCTGGATGGGTAAGTGAATAGTTTTAAGCTGACTTATAATTTTTCTAAAGAAAAACTGTGTTGGAATTAAAAAATTGTAGAAAGATGCATATAAATGCATATCGACTAGTTGTGGGTATTCCTATGGGCACCAATTGTTCCCCTTTAATAGCAGACTTGTTCCTATACTGTTATAAATCTCAGTTAGGTCCAAACTCAGCTAAGAAGGATCTAAATTCCATTTAATTGATATATGCAACAAAACTTACCGTTATCTTGATGATATGTTTTCGTTAAATAATCAAGAATTCTTCAAATATACTGCTGAAATATACCCAAAGAAACTTACTTTAAATAAATCAAATGTTAACAGCAATAAATGTCCTTTCCTAGATTTAGATATTTCAGTGTTACACCAGAATTTCTACACGAAAATTTACGAGAAAAGGGATGATTTTTCTTTTTACTAGTAAATTATTAAGTCAGGGATTTCGTTACTACAAATTACTTAAAACCTTTACTAAGTTCTTCCATAGATACAAAGATTTGGTTTGCAAGTTTGGCTGTACCTGTAGAAAACTTATTTCAAACCAAAAAGCGCATCCTAAATTTTACGATGATGTTGTTAACCGAGCCCGGAAATAAAGACGATTCGGGTAAACTTATCAATCCTTTAAATATTTTTTTTTGTTGTTATTGGCTTTTTGATCTGTATTTAGTGTCTTTTTTGTTGTTAGGGATGAGGGATCTATAAATTCCCTGCCACGTCCGTTTTTTGTCTTTGTTTGATGTTTTTCTGCTATGTATCGATCTGATGCGTTAACCCTATTTCAACTGATTTTGACAGTTTGTTCTTATGTTGTGCTGATACAACACTTTCCAAGGTTAGGGGAGGGTTGAGCGCTCATAAACATGTATAACCCCGCCACATTCTTTATGTGCCTGTACCAAGTCAGGAGCCTGTAGTTCAGTGGTTGTCGTTGGTTCATGTCAGTGATTGTCGTTGGTTCATGTCAGTCATATTTGTGTTTTGTAAATTGTTTTGTTATAAATTAGATCGAGAGAGAGATCGAGAGAGAGAGAGAGAGAGAGAGAGAGATTTGCTTCAACATTTGTTAATTTTGCTGCGTTACAAGAACTTGTTAAAATTACAGTTGTATGAAAACTGAGAATATAGCAGATTGAATTTGTAGAATGGTCGTATGTTCAAAGAACATCTTTTTATTCAAACAAATCGTATTTTTTTGTATGACTCACACTATCTCAGAATCATCAGCTCAGCGCTATAATATTCTGGTCCTTTCGTCCCTGGTATTATAAAAGAGGGACGAAAGATACCAGAGGGACAGTCAAACTCATAGATCGAAAACAAACTGACAACGCCATGGCCAAAATAAAAGGACAAACAGACAAATAATAGTACAGATGACACAACATAGAAAACTAAAGACTAAGCAACACGAACACCACCAAAAACTGGGGGTGATGCTACGTACTTATTGTACACGAAATTTTATAATATATTTCTTGTTGCAAGAAAAATGGTTAAAAAGGAGCCTTGCATTAAAAAAATAACCCAAAAAACATCAATGACGCACCTTTAGTTTCGTTAAAATGTAAAGGAAATGGTAAAAATATGAATTAATATTAATGTTGATTTTTGTAATTGTAGTATGTTGTGACTGGTTTCCTGCCTATGTGTATGTCAAAGAAGAGAGAAACAAGCTGGATATGCCTGGTAGGCTTAAAGTTAAGAAAGACCAACGATTAATTCACTTATAGAAAGAAGAAAAAAAAACCCCAAAAAAACAAACAAAAATATTTTACATTTATAGTTGAAAAACAAAAACTATGAGAATCGAATTTGAAGCAGCAATTGACTTTGCTTTATTGGAATTATACGGCCACGTTTGAATTCCTGATATTGTTTTTTTTAACTGTCCCGATATAAAGTAAGTTTGTTAATAACAAAAAGGAAAAAAATAACGTAAATTCATTTTAATTAAATAACAGTATAATTAAATTTTGTAAAGTTTTTTTTTCTATTCAGAAAACTGGATTTATGGTGTGTAGCATAATTGGAGCATCAATTTTCGTTCCAACTATGTTCAGTCTTGGTGTGGTCAGCTCAATTATAGTAAGTAATGCTATTGATTATTAATAATGAAAAAAAATGTTAAATAGATAAGCATATTGCATTTCATAGCTATCAATGTTGATAAGCGTCAAAATATCAAACTTAAATGCAAGCATTAAAAACCTTACCTAAAATGCTTTGCTGTTCTGTCAGGCAAAGTTCACCTTATACAATTTTGCTTCCAAACGTTCTGTATGTTTGTTTGTCAAACTGTCATGTAATCTACAGGACAGGACATATAAAGTTATTTGTTGTGTATGATTAGAAAAAAATATTTCTAGAGACAAGTTCACACGGAATCGTTCTTTAACATTTTTTAATTGGTCGTTAAAATGGCCACTCTTTTTTTAATTTGATTTTGAAACATTCATTGGTTCTAATGAATAATAAACAAAATAACGCTTTTAGTTATCCAACGTATGTTATGCTTTTCAATGTGTCGTGCTAGTTGCGGTTGATTGTTAGATGGTGTGTCTCATTTGTATTTTGAAAACAGGCTTTTGCCCCAAGTTAAAAGAAATATATTCAACGCTATAAAAAGAACGATTATTGAAATTTTATGACAAACATATTAATATCCTGTTTTTGAACAGGTAAAGTTTTGACTGAATTTGATATCAAGTAATATTCAATTCTTAATTTATATATGACACAAATTTTCCGTTTATTAATTTTTTATACTATATAAACGTCTAATCAAGTGATAACTCTACGACAGACAACAATTATTATAAATACGTCGTTTTAAATTTGAGCCAATTATGTAATATCTGCATATTAGCAGTTGCAAATATTGTTCTTCCCTCAGCTGAATTTCAAGCCATGCTTCTTTGACATCGCAACTCCCTAATGCACAGTGTCTAGCGACAGTGATCACCTGACGAACTAGGTAATATAAGATAAATCTTTCGTTAGTCAAGTAATGCCTTTCTGTAGTCGGATTTATCTAGGCTGGTAACAAAGTCCATGATGTATTGTGACATGTAGAGGGAACAATTTGCAGATCAGGTCTGTCGTAAAGAATGATGATACTTATTTGAACAATAAAACTCTTTTTTTATATAGGCTTGTTTGTCGAATAGTCAAAGTCGGTTGACATAGGTCATGTAGTGTTGCCACAATTTGTTTGAATAACACTGACAAAAGAACTAAAATTACAGATGTTACATTTTGTGCTAAATTTAACTCGAAGAATTTATATGTTTATAATAAAATATCTTTTTGTCATTTTCACTTCGTTAATTTCCTAAATGTTGACACTTTACACTTTTATGTTTATCTCAGAGAGGAAGAAATGATTCGAAAACTGTGATTCTGTCAGCTTTCATGGCTGTATTGTCCATTGCAGAAGTGGTAGTCGCAATCATTGCCGCTTCATTCTGTTGTTGCTACTCCTCATGGGGAACATCAAATCAGCAGGTAAGCAAATGTTGCTCTAAAACATGGGCACTCTGCCTCACCAACTGAACCTAAATATGTCACACAAGAGCGGACTAGGAGGGTCAACGGATTTCATGTTTAAATGTTGCAACCATTACTCACGTTGTCGATTTAGTGTTAAACAAGTTTTTCCATGCATATATAACAACCGTAATTGTGAGTTGTCTGCTTAAAGTATCAATACATTTCTTTGGAGGTGACAGAACGGTGCATAAACTACCATTTGGTACTATTATACATGAACGTTGAATTAAACCAACATAACAACAGGGTTTTATCGATACCGTGATACGAAGTATGCTAGTTTTTAAAGCCATTTTGATATGTCAGTTGTAATTCCTCTAAGTCGGTGTGGTGTCACCCATATTCTCTCTTACTCTGGACATAAACTCTAAATTCAATGAAAAATTGGAACTCGAAATAACATTCTTACAATTGGCAAACAGAAAGTTTTGGTTGCCTGTACCAAGTCCCGACTTTAACAGACATATTGTCAATATACATGGCCATTATGCAATGGAATATACATTGAGTTTTAGTATGTTTTCCTATTCTTTACTTAAACTCGGGGAGGATTCTTCTTATTTACTTTAATATAGTATCGTATTAACTTGTATGAAAACTGGTTTTTTTATTTAGAAAGATTTATCACTATTTCTTTAGATAAAAACAAAGCAGTAATTGTATCTATAAATATTGCATTTTTATTTCTCAACAAGGAGTTGTTTTTGTGAACTCCACACAACCTGGAATGTTTCTTAACCTACCAGAGACTCATATTCCTATGACAAACGGTCATCAGGTCATGATAGCTACCGGACAAACAGCTAACTCAATAGTGCAGTATCCTAGAGGACAAGAGTATGAAGTAATGACTACAACTCAACAGACAGAACAGCACGTTCAAGCCGTTGGTGGTACACATTCAGAGCCAAACAGTGGACTGGTTTTTGAAACCAATCCGCCAGCCTACAAATAATAGATGAGATATAACCATTCCTTACATGCAATTGCGTTTGTTTGTTGTAAAAATCAAAGACTATAAATCTTGATTTATAAAATTACTAACACTTGTGAAATTAGAGACACACGATTCTGTATATATAAAATGAAGAGCTTTAAATTTCTTTGCTTTGTTAACCTATGAAAATATAAAGTAATGACATGTTTTAGCTTTAAATTAGATTAAAACTTATAAAAAGTGTTTATCTTCCAAAACAAATATTTAAGTATCATGGAAGACAATTATAACCTTCAGTTAGGAAATGAATCTCTAAAAAGATCTTTTTTATATGAATATCATATTCTATAATGACTTATTTGCTATTAATCCAGTCACACGCAGTATACCGAATCAGTTTAAGAATATGAAAATTGAAAGATATGAGAAGAATTAGTAAGGTTTAATCTCTTTTTATTTATTTTTGTAAATATATTTTTATACGATTGTCAA